GGGTTCCTGACTAGCAAAGAACAGCATGCCCATCCCCAGATTGGAGCTTGTTTGTTAAGGCCCCTGAGAACTCTGCATGTGGCTACAAAGGCATTTCCATCAGAGGCAGACAACCCCACACTCACCGAATGTAGGAGTCTTTTTTGCCACACACTACACACAGGTTCTCTTTAACCATCAAGTAGTAGTCTCCTGGGGATTCAGGTCTTCCAGCAGGTTCAAACTGTAGCTTGACCACAAAAGGCTCTTCACTCACCAGCTCTTAGAGAAAAGAAGTTTTAGTTAGTGTCTGCCCCAGAGGAGAAAAACAACCTTAGTTGTTCTCGGCTGTATCCTGGCAGTCATCACTATTTCTGGGTTTTGAATAGCTCCGTCCCATGTGACTCAAGGTCTCTCTACCTCCTTCTATCCATCTGTCTCCCTTATCTCACTCCCTACTCCTGCCAGTGCCCACAGGAACCTAATTTATAGATAAAATGTGACAGCTGAATCTCAAACCTCCAATGCCTTTGTCCAGGTACCACTGAGCTTTTCTTCGATCACAAGTGCACAGGGGCTGTCCATCAGGAGCATGGAGAAAGCAGTTATCATAGAGCGGTGATTTTCTGCAGAGAAGGGAGAGAGAAAGCTAAACCTGAAAGCTAACTATCGGCCAAGGTATCAGTCACCTTCCCACGTTCTCTTCTGAGTGACCCAAGCTATTCTCAACACTAGGGACAACCACAAAACCAAACAGGGAAAGAAACCATGTTAATTCCTCTATCTGCATTGGGCTAGGAAACAGAAATAAAACTGAATAGTTTATACTTCTAGTTTTTATATGTATGGGTTGGGACATTAAGAAGTAAGTTCTATTGTGAAAATAATCAGGAACAAAGCACTAAGAAAGCTGCCCTATAATCACTGGANAGGTTGGGACATTAAGAAGTTCTATTGTGAAAATAATCAGGAACAAAGCACTAAGAAAGCTGCCCTNGGGTTGGGACATTAAGAAGTAAGTTCTATTGTGAAAATAATCAGGAACAAAGCACTAAGAAAGCTGCCCTATAATCACTGGATTAAACAAAGTAAATTAAAATTAAATCACTTCAGGCCAAAGTAATGAGGGCCACGTGGGTTTATTTCTGGCTCAGACACAATCGTTGCTTCAATTTAATCATCCACTTTGCCACAGGGACGACACTTCCACTCCAAAGTACTTATTCGTCATCTTTCTGCAACAGAGGCTCAAGTGGTATAGGAAATTCTCCTTGGCTAGAGAGTAACACCAGCTTAGAGCTGGATGCCATTTAAATAGTCAAATAGCAAATGAACAAGAAGTCGAATGACGCATTTCTCCTGAAAAGCACGAGGCACTTCGTGCTGTTCATTTTCACAGCTACTCTGAAGCCAGCAGGAATAATTATACTTTCTTTTATAATTGGAGAAAGTACAGATCTACGCCTAAATCAGGGTCAGCAACAAAGCTAAGTTAAGCGCTTTTATTTCCATTCCAACTGCCCAACAATGAAAAAGTAAAAAGGGGAAAGGAGAAAAATACACCAATAAATCAAAGGAGAGCTCCAAATGCCCCTGAGGAAAGGACAAATAAGAACCCTTGAAGGGCCTTTGCTTCCTTACCACACACGCCTTCTCCCGGACCAAGGAGAGACACCACGTGTGCCTCTGGCTCGAGGCTGGGCCTCTGACTCTTTCCTAGACAGGGAACAAGTCAATTACCTGGCAGAATAGCCCACCCCCAGGGGCTTTCTTTTCTGTTTTCTGGGGTCTCTCCCTTGGTGGTTGCCTGGCACTGTTACATCGGTCTTAGACTTCTTATTTCTTGGCTTCTGCTGAGATTCTGTTGCTTCCCCATTAACCTCTTCTCCCAATCTGCTAATTCCTTTGCTTCGGAATGGAATGTCTACCACATCCTGGCACTTCTCCAAAACCTTTCTCCAGCCAATGAGGTCATCATTTTCTTCTAAAGTTGAATTCCTAGAGAAAGGGTATCCAAGAAGATGGAGAAAGAGAGCCACTGAAATCTGGGCATCCCTGGCAGCATAAATTACCTGAAGAGAAAAGTCAGAGATCAGTGGAATCTGGAAGGCAAACCAGAGAGAGCAACTTCAAAGTCATCAGAAAGATACAAACAAGTTTTAGGTCTAATTCAAGTTGTACGATAACCTAGGCACCATGTACTTCTTAAAAACTTTTACTATGAAAAATTTCAAACTATACATAAGCAAATCAAATAGTGTAATGAATCTTCATGTTCCCTATGTTTTAACTAAAATTGTTAAAACAATAACTTCCTTTAAATACTCAAAAATCCTAATCTATATAATCAGTGGAGTTTCTATCTGCTACCAAACCTGCTGGACAGATTTCTTTCAAGTCTGGGGTAGGACAGTTACCACAGGTATGACAACCAGTACATGAACTTCACTTTGGGGACGGTCATCATCTAGAACAGCTGAGAACAACATTCATTAAGAGGCCTGTGTGACTACAGTGAGGTTCACCACCATATTAATAAAATATTGGGGGGGGGGAAGGTTCAAACATGGGCCTCAAATCAAAAGTCACAAGGTCCATTTCTGGAATTTATTTATTTAATAATGATAAATCATTCTCCAAGCAACTGGTCCAGGCAAGCTGGTCGTAAATAAAAGTAGGCAAAGCTATAATTAATAGCTTTTCTCAACAAAGACTATAGAGACTTTAGATTTCTTTAATTCGCCTTAATAACCAAGCCTGTCATGGACACAGACAACAGTGTGGTGACTGCAGGGGGCAGGGAGGTGGGTGGAGGTGAAAAGGGTATAGGGAGAACAAATGGTAATGAAAAAAATATAGAATAAAATAAAGAAAAATAAAAAATGCTGAATTCTAGAAGGAATTACCAATCTTTAAATTAAAAAAATTAAGAATATTATATGAGATAGAAAATTGTCACTTTTTCTTTTCTTCTTTTTCTGCAGGCATTCAGTATATTGGAGACATTTTTTTGAGATTTTGAGCCTGTTGCATTTTTCAAGTTAGTCAGTGGTTGAAGTAGTTCTTTATTGGATGACATAATTTTTTCCTAGAAAGATATTTTTC